TTTTTTTTTTTTTTTTTTTTTTTTTTAGTAGTAGTTTTACTGTATTTTTTGATCAAATAAATGCATATATAAACGTGTGAAATAAGTGAAACTAGTCATTTCAAAGAGAAGTAACATTATAAAATTGTACTTTAATTTTCCAGAGATTAACGTGAAAGCCTTAATAGATGCCTTGCGCTCCTCTCTTCTGAGTGTTAATATACTGGTCTTGCAAAGATACTTATTACCTACCAGAATAATGACAGTTTCACTCCCTCTGTATCTGTGGAGATCTTTCTACTTCTACACGCAGCCAAAGCCAAAGCAGCAATTAATCACAGTTACATATATGTGTGAAAAGCCTTGGCAACACTATCTGTTTCAAGAGACACACAGTCTATCTATCTATCTATCTATCTATCTATCCCTCCGTCTGTCTAGTCTGTAAGAGTCTGACATTGCTTGACTCGTTGTATAAATTGATCTAGTGTATCAACCTTACACTGAGAGAATCTGTTCCCACTGCAGAAGTGGATGAACAGAAACTCAGGGCATCAAACTGTGAGTTCTAACTGTTTGCTGTGTCAGGATTTAGTGGAAGGGACATGAATATTTATCCACAGCTGTTTTTTTTCTGTATATGTTTATGTGGAATAATTAACCCCACTGTGCAGAATCATTTATTTCTTTATGGACTGTAGCACTACGTGTTCTATTTTCTCAGGGTTATAATTAATAACAATACAGTCACGATTAAAATGTTATTTGTACTCACACAGCATGCTGCCCAAGAGACAAACACTGTTTTGTTTTGTTTTTTTAATGTGTGGCATTTTTATCTGCATGTGTTTGTTGTTTTTTTCTGGGTGTTTGCACATTGTAAACCCATTTATAGCCTGAACAAAAATATCTCTGTACTGTCTGATACTGTATGACACTATTATTTTAGTATTTGAGCACTATTTAGCGTTAATATATTGTTATTATTACTATGTTTCTAAACGTTTTTATTTGTATATTTTCCATTTAATTCTAGTTTTAGTTGGAGCTTAATTAATCTTCAAAACTTCAAAAAAATTTGTTTTTTAAAAAAGGTCATTTGAGTTTGTATTCATTTACATTTAAATCTTAGTTATTTTAGTACTTAAAGTTAGACTAATCTAAAATGAGAAATGTTGGTAAAGTAAATAACTTCAGTTATTATTTATTTTATTTCAAGTGATGAATTTATGAATTTTTAATGAATTTTTTTATGATTTTAGTTTTAATTTTAGTTTATGGTAATAATAACCCTGCTGTATGTGAAATATATTTTACGATTTGGAAAATTCATATGCTTTGAGTCATACAAAAACACATCTAAAAGTAACCTGCATGAAAATGTATTAATAAGATTGTACAAATTCGCCAACAAATCATGAAATAATTACAAATTGCCATGAGTGTGTGTTGGTACACAGTTTAACTACCACCGATCTCTCATCCAAGAGCAGTTTTACTAACCACAATAATCTTGTCACCACGGTTACCATCCTCCATAACAAGGTCTTTGTCCATTCATTCCTTTGTATAAATCACTACGATCCCAAATCAAAAGCCATAATTGCATGCCAAGCAGCCAATTCCTTCCAAATGGTTTGCAGGCTGCATGGTATAAAAGTAATTCAGTCAGCAGCCTTTCCTAAAAACAGAGGTTATTTGTATGCTGTGATTGATTGTATTGCCTCCCACATTTATCAGGTGAAAGTCTAGCACATCAGTATTTAAATCACAGAATGAAAGCTGCTTTGTGTTCCAATCCCAAGGCTTGCAAAAGTGACCACAAACTCCAAAAAGGTGTGGATTATCTGTAGAAAGTTATGCTTTTGCATACTTGAGCCAAACCTTGACCCCTTAACATCAGTCTGGACTACAACAATCAGCAGAGAAAAGTAATTTGGAGTGTGTAAAATACGTTTTTTGTTATTGTTTTTTTGACCTGGTGAACTGGTAACTCAAAGACTACAGTGGAATTGCCAGTCAAATATTGCAGTAAACGAACCGTACAAGAGATCAAGTGCAAAGAAAACATGCTGTATTCCTCTAAATTACACTTTGAGCCCCGAGTTCAGCTCACCTCTGAGTCTCTGAACTGCAGCTCAGCTTGGGAGAGATGTGGTCAAAGAGTAGAGCACTGCGTGTGTTTGCATCCAATAAACCATCCGATAAACCTACTTAACCCTGACTACAGGGGACCAGCAGCACAGAACACCAAATCTTTAGATATAGTAACTGTTCATAGCAACATTGCTTGACCCTTACTGTACAGCAAACATGTGCTTTAATACTGTTTAACTAACATGGTTGCTAAAATATGTGGCTCAGTGGTAGAGCATTGTGTTAGCAGCGCAAAAGGTCATGGGTTTGATTCCCAGGGAACACACATGCTGGTAAAAAAAAATAATAATAATTGTATAGCCTGAATGCACTGTAAGTCACTTTGGATAAAAGCATCTGCTAAATGCACAAATTATAAATTATT